CAAAACATGTTATCAAGAAGCAATTAAACACATAGAGCATGGCAACACAAGCATGATATGTACTCAAAACCCGTAATCCAATGTATTTGAACCTAGGAGCTCTAATACTACCTGTGACGGCCCTAGTTTTTCAAGTCAGTGTATCTTGTGATGAATTGTAGTTTGACCCTATAACGGATCCGAAATGCGAAAGCGAAAACATAAAACAAGTCTATAGAGATATACAATATCCTTAGGACACCAAAGTGACCTTCTATGAGGTCACGGAACTTCACGAGAATCGATGCGAAAAAAAAGATTAGAAAAAGGCCAAATAAGCCCCTAAGGGCAAAATAGTCTTTTATATAGAAGCAATGTCTCTAGAAATGTACATCATTCCCAAGACACATTCATGACTTCCCACGAAGTCATGAAACTCAGAAGAAAGCATAACAGAAGAAAAATAAAAAGGAAAATGGAAAAGTTTGGCCCCAAGGGAAAAATAGTAATTTCTAGCAAGATATGGGTGCTACCGAGCACACAATTGGAAAGACGACAAAAAATTAATGACCTTAGACTTAAGAATCGCTTGATTCAGAATCCAGATGGAAGAGAAAAGTCGAAACAAAGTTTTGACGTCGTCGTGGTCATGAATAGTGTTTTGACAGCGGTGAATAGTGTTTGGGCAGAAAAATGTTGAAATCGGGTGCCGTTTTGAGGCATTAAACGATGCTTTTTAGGAAAACACGAAGAAGAAAACCCCCTTAAAATAATTTTTCTAAACTGACCATTTCGAAAGAAAATTTTATTTTTTGACGTGAAATCCCCAAAATGCTCTTATAACAGATTTTTTCAAAAAGTGCATATGCGTACAGGAAATCAGATTTGACGGGGGATTTTCGAGACCGAGATGGCATTTTATGAAAAATTATTGTGGAGAACCCCCCTCCCCCCCCAACCTAAAATCACGTTTTCTATGTGACCATGTCAAGGCTGGAATTTATTTTTTAAAGAAAATTCCTAAAATGCCCCTAAATCAGTTTAGGTAAAATATGATGAAAAAAAAAATAAACAACTTTGCACCAAATATTCACTTGACCCTAAATGGTATTGTGTGTTAAAACGATCATGCACGCAAATGTAAATAATGATTTTAAGCACACAGGAATGGTCCGCAACTCCCAAAAATGTCGGATACAAAATACAACCTATCCGAACCTCAAAATGCAAAGAAAATGTTTAAAATGGAAAACTTGAGACCAACAAGCATTTATTTCATACAAATGTGATATTTTGTGCAAGGTGAGCATTCACGCAAACGTAATATACATATTTACACGTATTCCAATGGCCTACGGCCTCAATGGTCGCTAAATACAAAATATCACATATTAAACTTCAAATTCTGCCTAAAATGAATTTTAAAAGAAAATTTGAAACTTAAAATTATAAAATGGTTTCAAAAGACCATTTGACCCTAAGCCACACTTCACACATAAATAAATAGACCCTATGGAAGTGTTAAAGCGCACTTCCCACACCCCATGCAAAAGTGGTGATGCTAATGCGTGTCATTTTTCTATTTTTCCATAATGAAGCTTGAAGATAAAAGTACCTAGATTACAAAATCAATGTCCTTGGCCCATAGCCTCATTACATATATGTAAAATATGTCCTAGCGAGTATATCTAAATACATTTTACATATTACAAAGTATAAACGCATATTGAGCCTAGCTAAGTATTACAACTTTAAAAGTAAAACTCAAACATGCTAACACTTGCATGTGAACAAGAATACATTTAAAAGAATTTCAAATTAACAAAACGACCTAGAGATATTGTGTATCCCAAAACCACGTCTTCATACCTGAATCAGGTCGCATTCAGTGAGGGGTGAGTAACCTGTATTACTCGTAGTGAATGAGCATGCATAGACCTAACATTTAACAAGGTTAACACATTAATTTGAAACAATTCAAAAGGTTCATGCCACCTAACGTCTATGTTAAAAGTGAGACTCAGGAATCATCCTAAGCTACTTTAAAGCATTTCTAGCATAAACTACAACATTTATGTAATTAAACAATATAGAAGTATACTATGCAATGCAACAAGATATAGATTCTCAAAATTATTAACTTCGAATCTAAGATAGGTAGTTCATGCCACCTAGCATCTATGTTCCAAAGCGAACTAAGGGATCATCTTAATTACACAAGTTATTGAAATGATAAATTCAAAGCATACAAGTATACAAGCAATTTTTTTCTTTCAATTTTAATTTCGAAACATCAATTTTATGTAACCGAGATGATAAGGTGCTCATCTAAGGTCTTCCATAATAATAATAATAATAATAATTTAAGTAAGAAATTAGAAGTGACAATGGTTCTGTCAAGTCATTGTTACAATCAATCAATATAAACACTTTATTAAAGTAAAAGGGTTGAATTAATCACAATTTACTAAGTGTGAGACCATTTGTTTTAAAGAAATTTTTGAATTGATAAACTATTGATTGATTGGCAACAACTTGGCACAATCGTTGTAAATAATAAATTTTTCTTTTTTATACTATAATGAATGCATACATATATTCATCCAATTGAATTGAAAATGTGTCCAAACAAAAAAAATTATTCAAAATGATTTGTGACTATTAGCATTCTACAAATTTATACAAGAAGCATATAGGATTACATATTTTCAAACTTATAGCTATATATATATATCTTATAATTAATTATTTGATTTGGTCCTAATTAATAAACCTCAAACATAATTGAAAAGTCAAAGGTTCTCTATTTTTGGAATCAAAACTAAATCTTAGCAGAATAAGGCCAAACGTATGATCTAATTCGGTTCTGATTGATTCACCAAATTTTTTGTACGCTCTTACATGTGAATACTTGTAAGGTTCAAGTGCAGAAAACACCCTTAAGATATGTTTATAATGCATATCACACCTCTCACATGCAAAAAATACCTCTAAAGTTTCAATTTGGTACAAATAGGTCCCTCTGACAAATTTAAATTCTAAATTAACTAAATTACCCTTACCAAACTATTTTATAAAATATATAAAAATAAATAAATTTGTAAAATGACCTAAAATGACACTATTGTAGGATGCCCCTATCGTGCAGAAAACACTTCTAAAGTTTTAATCTGGTGCAAATAGGTCCATCTGATAAATTTAAACCCTAAATTGACTAAATTACCCTTATTAAACCATTTTATAAAATATATAAAAATAAATAATTTTATAAAATGACCGCAAATGATACAATTGGAGGACGTCGGTAATGGACAAGTAAAAATAAATATAAAAGTATAAAAGAAAAGTAAAGATAAAAATAGAAAATAAAAAAACAAAAATAAAGTGCAAACTAAAGAATTTTTATTTTTATTTTTTTTTTAACAGTGTTGGTACGAAAAATAAATAAAGAAAAAAAAAATTTAGTATAAAAGAATAAACTGGAATCTCAAAAAATTTAAACCCTTACTCTTCAAATTCTCAAAGTTTTTTTTTTTTTTTTTTTTTTTAAAAAAAATGTTTAGAAATATATATAGAGGAAAAAGTTTCAAAAAACAAAAAAGAAAAGATAATGTGCACATAACACCCCTGAATTATGAGATTAGTAGCCTTGAGCATTTTTAGAAGAGTAAAAGGGCAAAATGGATATTATAACACTAATTTACGTCAGGAGGTATTTTTGCACAATTTGAAAAAATTAGGGGTATTTTTTGTATACTTTTTCAAATAAAAAGTAAAAGTGTTACGCGAAATATACTTTTGGTGTGTTTTCTGCACTTATCCCATACTTGTAAACTCACAACAAAGGTGGTGAGAGAATTGTATATATATAACCTATATGTAAACTTTTTTAGAAAAACGTGAAAGATGATAACATAATGAATTAACAAATAACGCATGTGAAGGAATTAAAATTATAAATAAATAAAAAAACGAAGAACAAGAAATAAGTAATTATTTGATATAATTAATTGAAATTAATTTGATTTGGGAATGTTAAGTTGTATGGAGCTTCGACAGTTTGATGCTTTTAATTCTACAATGAGAAAAATAGTTCTTTTTCTTGTTGGGAAGAATTAATTGGATAAAGGTTTTAATTTTTAAAATTAATTAATTTCAAAATAGCCATCTTAATTACTTATTTTATTTATTATTTATGTATTATTATTATAAGAAAGATTAAGCAAATACATACACCCATGACTTCATGGAGGCTCAAAGCCTCAAAACACATATTTGCATCAGCTGGACTAATGCCAAAACAATAAGTGTGTTGCACCCCTACCACTTTTAACACCAAAATTTTCTCTTTTCGTATGCTAAAATAGTAATTTGCAACTTGTGATAAATTGAGGGTGTTTGTTGCCATAAAAAATAGTATAGGAGATTATTTTACAACATTTTGATAGCACAAAAGGGTTTAGTGCAATTTGGCCTAAAAAAAAAAAAAAAAAAAAGATTGGATTCTTAATATTAGGAATGAGAGGTAATATTGAGTGATTGATATCTTAATATTTATGACCCCCACTTAAAGAAAACTTACAGCGGCGCTGCTACAATATGATCAAGAATGGCCGGTTTTCGAATTGAGCCCAAAGACTACCAACTTAGCCGTTCTTTAACGGTAAAAAGTAAAACACACACTCACACACTAACACAGCTTGTCAAATTTAGTTATTTTTCTGCTATTGCGATCAAAGTTCTCTTTCGCCTGTGTCTCGGTAAATTCTCTCTCTCAATCTCTCTCCCCCACTTTCCCTCAGCTTTGAATTCTGATTTCTCTCATCCGAAGAACACCGTTCTCATAGTCGTGTTCTCGCCGTGGTAAGTCACTTCTTGTTTTGGGTTTTCCAAGATTTCAACTTCTACTATATATATATATATATATCGTAATTCAAGAATTCTGATCTTTTGTTTGATCAAAATAATACACAAATACGATAATTCTTGTCTGGGTCATAAAATCTTGATTCAGAGCACCAATGGCTGCTGATCAAACTCCGCCTTTTACGGAGTTGATGGATACGGAATCCAAGAAACATTCGAAGCTGCGATACGCATTCGTCAAGAACAGTTTTCTTGATGGGTTGGGTTCGATTCGGAAGGACGCGACTGTGGAGTCTATTTACACGAACAATTTTCGGAGCTCAAGCAGTCGATTATGGTACGAAGCATTCGTTAATTTGAAGAAGGTTGTGGCGGGTAACCCAAAACAGAGGACTCCCAACTTGAAGTTCGCATGGTTCGGGTCTTCAAGGTCCGAGATAGCAAATATAATTTGCAACGGTTTCACAAGATTTGATGGGGGTGGACAGTTCTCTGGTTCGGGTGTGTGTCTCTCTCCTATGGAGTATTCTGTTGACAGGTACCTCCCTCTCTGTGTCACTGTGTGTATGTGTGTGTTTCTAGATTCTTTCTGTAAAGGGTGTTCAGGATTTTGAGAAATTAAATGTCCAATTAACGGTAAAACCAATCAATGGACATTAATCCAGATATTTTGGTTTCTCTGATTCACAGTGGTGTCTAAAATGATTCAACAAATCTAAGCTTCTGAAAAAAATAAAAAATAATAAAATAATAAAAATGGTCACATTTTGTTACAGAGGAGAAATCCCATTGTAAATGATCAATGCATTTTCTTTTTCAAAAAAGTCTGGCAGGATGCCTAAGCAGCTCTTTCTGGTTGAAAATTAGATTTTTTATTTTTATTTTATTTATTTATTTATAAAGTTGAGCTTCTTAGAACAATATAATTCGTCACCGGACACATATAGCCTAATTGATTCTGGTTTCTCTGATACGTATTCAAGTCACAATTTAGCCTAATTGATTCTGGTTTCTCTGATACGTATTCAAGTCACAATTTAGCCTAATTGATTCTGGTTTCCCTGCAATTTAGTGGCCTGGAAGTGATTGCTCTATGTTCCTCTGTCATGTCTGATTTTTTTTTCTTTTCCTCTCCATTTTTAAAATGTGACAGTGCATTATCAGCAGTTCCAGATGAAAATGGAGTGAGGCATGTTTTGCTGTGTATGGTAATCTTGGGTGATACCGAACTGGTTCAACCCGGTTCGGTTCAATCTCGGCCGAGTTCCGACGAATTCGAATCAGGAGTGGATGATATATCAAACCCTAGAAGATACATCATATGGGCTCCCAACATCAACTCCCATATCTGTCCTAAGTTTGTCATCAGCTTCAAGCTTGCCAATTCTGCAGCTGCTCCTCCAAGGATCCAGCAGCCAAAGCCGCCTCCCATTAACGTCTTGTCGATGAAACCTCTTGGCTCTCTATGGTTTGGCAACTGGAAGTTAGGAGCTAAGTAAGTTCCTCCGTCTTTGTGCATTAATTATGATGTGTATCCTTTAAATTTCTAAGTTTTAAGTCTAAGGTTTCGAATTTATGTTTGGCGCCAGGAATATAGGGCTGCAATTGCTCTGACCGGTAAAAAGATCGAAGGCAACTAGGAGAGACAAGCTGTAAATAAATGACATGCAGTAAAATTGTACTTTGACTAGTACAAAGATGAAGGCAACTAGCAGAGACAAGCTGGAGAAAAAAGACATGCAGTAATATTATTTGCTTTTGTTGAAATGTGCCTCTTGCTGGCATTGTAATCCTCATAATAGACTACTTAGCTTTTGTTTTAAAAAAAAAAAAACTGATCAACAGAAGCTATGTGTGTGTGTGTGTGTGTATATATATGTGTGTGTTAAGCAACTTGAGGCAAGGAATAGATCTTCAGCACTCAGCAGCCATGGATTGTTGACACTTTTGTATGGACTTCATTCATTGATAGTTTCAGTTGGTTTTAATAGAGAATTTTCTTTCATTTCTTATGTTGAAGTGTGCATCTTATTACTGGCATTGAGTACTTTTCTTTTGTTTAGTAAAAAAAAACCTAATCAACAAAGTATGTTGAGGCACAAAAGGATTTTACTTTTCTCCTTCAGAAGCTATAACCATTATCCTCATTTTGTTCCTACACAAACGAGTTGGATCCATAACTGTGTACCATTACCATTTAGGCTCAACAAAGCCTATGTCATTCCGAACAACATGACCTGGGGAACACTGAAATCATTAACTTGAGTTCAAATGGACATTTTGACTAAACGATTCAGCTCTGCAAAGGAATCATATTCATGGTAGTCCCCCCTTCAAGAGCCGATGCCCAAAGCTAATATGAATCAAGTCCTAGTTCCCCCCTTCCCATAGGCAGCCACACCCCACGTGCTCGATCGAAAGCAGTTAAAGAGCTAAAAGTAGTAGTTTTGGCGGGTACTTTGAAATTGGTTATATACTAAAAAAAGCCTAATATTTCAACTACATGGGCTGGCTATACACTACTACTCTCAAGTCATTCAGAATCAGATGGAGGTACATCAATAAACAGCCAAGATGCTAAAAGTAAATAAATACATAAATATACAGCCAAGATAGTATTAAAATCATAACAAGGTTCACACATAAATGCATACAATAGTCAACAAATGGTAGTGAGATCAAAGTAGAAAGTACTGATGGATTATCATCAAGAATTGGAAGTGCAATTAAAAATAGAATATTGCAATGGTAACCTGATTTCAAATGTGACAAAAAGTTCGTTTAGAAAGAACAGACTTGGAGAACACCGCATAACCCTTCTGCTAGATTTTGATCCACTCCACGACCTTGATGCAAACACTGCGCAAGTTGGCACTAAGCATAGAAATGGACCGCAAATGAAGCCTGATAAAACCATTTAATGGCCTCTTTAGAATTTGGAGGTTCAGCTGCATACATGATAACATTCACAAAACTAGTAATCACATGACATAATAATGATTGAGGCTGGAAGACATTACCACTAATCAAGAATCCTCAACTCCTTAATTTCCTCAGAGGAACTACAACAATTATTATAAATTGGACCACATTACCATAGAGAAGAATACACATATTGGACAAATAATGATGCTCCTCGTAATCGACTTAATGGTTCCTAAAAAAAGTTCTTTAGCATATCTGCTTGAAAGGAAGTTATAGGCAGTGCATATTTTGCTTCTATAAACAATTTAATCGCCCCTCTTAAGAGTAATATTAATTTGAACTAAATGATACCAAAAGGCATGACTCGAATGAGCGAAAGGAGTCGGAAGGAGGAAGAACTCCATATTCTCATGTTCAACATAGGAAGATGGAAAGGAATTAAGGGGTGCATGATCAATTTGATTTTCAACACTGAAGCAGAACAGTGAGGAGTGTTCGTAAATCAGGAAGAAAATTAGTAGAAAAAAGGTTGAACTAACATACAAGAACTATACTCCTGGCAGCATCATTAAGCTAAAATAACTCCAAAACCATCCTAACCAAAAATACAGTGAGAACTGTCCTCCTAGCAGCATCAAACAGAATTGTTCGGCAGAACAATCACACTATAAATCACTTCCGGACTCTAATCAGTCCTCACATTCCACAATTGGCATTAAGCTGAAATAACTCCAAAACCATGCTAACCAAAAACACAGCAACAACTCTCCTTCTAGCAGGATCAAACAGAATCATTTGGCAAAGTAGGTACATCCTAAATCACTTCCCTACTCTAATCATTCCATAATTGGCATTAAGCTGAAATAACTCCAAAACCATCCTAACCAAAAGAGACAGCTTAATTGTGCACACCAAGCATAAAATTTTGGCTCAATGCAGCTAAAGAACCACTATAATCTCCATCCCCTTAGAAGATTGACTGCAAAATTGTAACCCACCACAACAAGTCTCTCACTAACCCAATTTTCAACATATATAAAATTATCCATTCAACAATAGAAATTACGAAATCAAATATTAACGAAGTAGAAAAACATAAATCTAAGTAAAATTAGAGCTAATCAAAGCTTTAGAATTGGAACTGAGGAGTATAACAGCTCAAATTCTAAAATAGGTTACCTTCGGTTCCAATTCCAAAGAGCGAAGACAAATGGAATCTGCAAAAATGGTACCTTGTGTAACTTCAAAAGAGTATACGAAATCCCCAAATTACAATGGACCGGTGGGGTCGCCGGAGGCGTTCCGATACAGAGACATAGCCAGAGTTGACGCACGAGCCGCAACGAGTACAGAGACTTGTTCAATTCCGGCACACACCGCCGCCTTTGTAGTGCTTGAACCTTTTCCCACACCGCAGGAACACCATCGCTGCCCTCGGCGGCCTTCCTTATGGAAGCATCGAGAAATGGGACGGTGATGATGATCTTGAACTGAATCGAGTTTTTGTGGGGAATTTGAAACAGTATCGTTTGGAGCAGAGATCGGATATATATATATACACACGAGCAAAAACACATAGTTGTGTCAACATAAAGTAAAAAATTACAAAAGATTATAAGTAAAAGACATTTTAGTGGAAAAAATTAATTGTTTCATGCGCAAGACCTATTTTGTTAAGCATGAGATTTTTATTTTACAAATAGAAAAGAGTGGAGGAGACTAAATTATACGTCAACTATTTTGTAAATTAAATTTAAATTATTATTTTTTATTTATTTTGATACACATAGAATCACGAAACAAAAATTTTAAAATATATATATAATGAGTGTAATAATAATTTCATATATTAAAATTAAATAAATGTTATGTTAAGTATTAATTTTTTTTAATCAAATTTTGCAAGAGATTTGCATGAATATATAAAAAATAACAAGTGGTTAAAAATCTTTTAAACTTTGTCCTCTAATTGTTTTTCAAATCAGTTAAATCAATTTTAAAAATAAATATTGTTCAATACTATTACTCAAAATTTAAAAAATAAAACATATAAAAAATTGAAGATACACACACAATCTTTGTAATATAACAAAGAAGGATAAAAATATTACTTCTTAGAGCATCAATTTCAAAAATATAGGAATAAAAATTATTATTATTTAACAACTTAAGATTTGACCATATAGATAATTTTGAAGTTTGAGAGAGAGATTGGCCAAATAGAAAAGAATTACACGTAAAGAGTTTTTTATTTTTTATTTTTATTTTTATTTTTTAAGAATAGAAGGAAAGTAGAAGAGTTCAAAGAAAAGAAAGTAATGTTTATTTTTATTTTTATTTTATCAATAATGTAAGAATATGAAAAAAGTTGACAATAAGTGGGGAGAAGAAGGATAAGAAAAAGTTAGGAATACAGGATATTCAAATATATATATATATATATATATATATGGTTAATAATTCCTAAAGGAAGATTAAAAAAAGAAAACAACTCAACTTTTTTTTCTTTCTACAAAACCATAGATGATTTTGTGTTGACATTCTCTTCAAAATGATCTTAGCGGACAATTGGTGGAGAAAGAGGGGAATTATTAAAAAATAAATAAAATTATTAATCTCTTTAAAAATATATATATATATGATTGGTAAACTTATCCAAATCATATGCTTGATCTGGATAAAGTTTGATATTATCATATGTTGGGCGAAAAGGAAATGGTTTCTGAAACAGAGATGTTCTTTGTTTGTTAGTCTACGTGTGGGTAACGGGCTTGGGCTCCAAGATTACATAGAACAAATTGGGTGTTAGGCGTTGAATGTTATACATTTTAGCCTATATATTATTCTCTTAATAATAGTTTATTTGTGATTTTACATTGTTTTATTGTTTTTATTTATTTCAGGACTTTAATTGTAAAATCAGTCAAGACCAGTAATTCTGAGCTTTACAATATGACTTTTCTTGGGATCGAGCAATGTTGAAGATCCAAATCTAATTATACTTAGAAAAAAGTCCAAAGAAGCTACAAGTTGATGAGAATGGAAAGAAGAAGAAAAGGAAAAATTCTTTTCCAAAAAGGAAACTTTTGCCAAAGTTGGTAACTTAAACCCGTTTTGGTAATCTAGCTATATCTCTCTCCTCGAGTGTTAAAACAGCTAAATTCCCGCGTTGGTTGATAGGAAATTCAAAGAGCTACAATTTTGTGTTTCACAAGCCTTCCCTAAAACAACTGTTTACCTTATCAAAATTGGCCTAGAAGTCTGCACAAATTTTAGGAGTCTTTATTCGACAGAATGTCTATGTATATCTCCTATATGAAAAAGGGAACTATAGGACTGATATTTTATTATTTAAAGGGGGTCTCTACAACATTGGATGATACAGAGGAGCTTGAGGCTGAGATCAGAAAGGAGTAGTCAGAAGAAAGAAGAGATCGATCCATGGCGGTGAAGATGTCTTCCTCAACTATGAAGAATTCCACCACAGTCATGCTTGGCTAAACGCTTTGCTAGGGTTGTGATGTAACCCTAGCTTAGCACCCTAGTTTGATTGTATTTAATTATTGGAGAATAATTTCTATCATGCATGATTGTGTAATCTATAGGGTTTTTAATTGAATTTTCAATAAGAATCGGTTTTAGAGTTTTAACTCAATTACAAATATTTTTCTATCTTGTCTTAGATATTTTGATCTTGTGATTGAACACAACTCATTCGCTTCTTGTAGTTGTGAATGAGATGATTACACAATGGTTCTTATCTGAATATAATGTTAGAGATTTGATGGATTATGCCTAGAAAAGATAGACCATGCTACACCCTAGAGTAAAGTAGATAGGTAGATGGTTTATACCAATCGAAGATAGTCCATGCTTAACTTTAAATTATATTATTTTCTAGCTGAATTAATATGTGCTTGTAACCATGATTAATTCTCTGTGCATGTTATATGATATATCTCCAATAAATTGATGTAATTAACTGGTGGTGCGACGTTAGTGGTGAAGTCATACCCCTAGTCCTCTATCTCTATTTTCTACATCATATTTAATCGTTGTTCTTTAGTTTATTTTATTTTTCTACTTAGTTAATTTAGAATTAATCATCATAATTCGATTATCCTACTTTCAAGTTAATTTTGGAATTTAAGAAATCTGTTGACAAACTTAATTTACACAAATCCCTTGAGTATGACACTCTTACAAGTAAACCCTATCTGCAAAGATTCGTGCACTTGTGAGTGGTACATATAAATCTCACAACAAGTTTTTGGCGCCGTTGCCGGGGACTTGTTTTAGTTCTTGACAGATAATATTAAATTCTACAATTAATTTTAATTAGGATCTTAGTTTAGGATTTTATTTTATTTTATTTATTTATTTTATTTTATTTATTTTATTTTGATACTGTTTTCTTTCAATCATTGCAGGTGACATTATATACTTGGAAGACGTTCTTTGTCACTTCCTCAGCTTCCGTTAGACCCATAAATTGAAAGAACTCTCAGAAACTTGAAGAAAGAAAAGATGGCGAATGATTTACCAATTGTAAAAGCAGTTCGCTGTTTAAAGGATCACTACGAACCAGGGGCATACAACTCTTCATCTGCAGTTCGATATCCTCAAGTGAGGGCCCCTCACTACGAAATTAAGGCCAATACTCTTTAGTTACTGCCTTCTTTTTACGGCCTATCAAAAGAGGATCCATACCGGCACTTAGATGACTTTGCAGAGGTGTGCAGAACAATAAAAATCCAGAGTTTTGACGATGATGTGCTCAAGCTACACCTTTTCTCCTTTTTATTAAAGGACAAGGCGAAGGACTGGTTTAATTCATTGCCAGCCGACACCATCACTACATAGGCTGAATTGCAATAGAAGTTTTTGAACAAGTACTTTCCCATGGTGAGAACTACTCAATATCGAGATGCTATTACTCGTTTTGCTCAAGGGCCTGACGAGCCTTTTCATGAGGCTTGGGAAAGATTCAGAGACCTCCTTCGGAAGTGTCCTCATCATGACATGTCAAAATGGCAGCTCGTCAACTTCTTTCATAAGGGGCTCAACGAGGCACAAAGATATATGGTGGATGCCTCTTGTGGTGGAAATTTTATGTTGAAGAGTGTAGAGGAAGCATGGTAGCTTTTTGAAAATATATTTGATAATTCAACACAACATGTCTTACCTCCCGTAGCAAGACCTCCTACCATATTGAAGAGAGCAGAAGGTGTGAATGAAGCAGGAATAAATCAAGGGCTAGTGAGCCAAATTGAGGCATTAATGTGATACCCCTCGGATCCGAGACACGGGTTGATCAGGCCCAGGCCCAAACCCGAGGGAATATCAAACAATTAAAGTATTTTAAAACGAACACAGATGACAAAAAGAACAATAAAGATAGAATAAAACTGAAAGAAACATTAATTATAAAATCCTCCATGGACAACTGAAAAATAAAACTCCAATCCTCCAAAACTTCAAGGTTACAACTTGGGAATCCACTGATGGACCCCTAACCAAAAGTTCAACTGAAACTGAAAACTGAAAATAGATAATGCTAGAAACATCGAGAGAAGTCCTACGTATTCAGATGAAAGTGAGACTGTCCTCGACAAGCACGATCAAGCTCTAAGGCTGGAACCGTCTGAAAAGAATAATAAAGGAGTGGGTCAGACCCACGAGCAAGTTCTAATCTAACCGCAATCCATACAGTGACCCGATACGCAGATACACCGTAAACAACTCACAATATCTATCTAGTCCATACGTATAAATATATCCACACTAAGGGACATTCACTAGTCTATAATAGGGGTCTCAACCTGAATAGAAGGCAACATGCGAATATGCACCCAAAGGTGGGCATGAGTACCTAGACCTAACAGGGTACCTCAACCTATTATAACCAGCTACGCATCCACTGCATATACGCACCCTAACCAACGAGTCTGAGACTCAAGCTCAACTCGTGGTACCATAACCATATATATAAAGTCCGTCCAAATCCAGGGTATGCAGTTCAACTATTTATTAAACTGTCATACAATAAACCAACTAGTTAGTCATTCAACTTATTCAGTTGATATGACTTAACTACCATCCGTTAACCCAGGAAGTCATCCAACTTGTTTACAGCTGATCTGACTTAGTCACAATTAGGATTCGATATCTTTCAATCCATTCCATTAATCCATTAGGTTAGGTTTATGCGTTTTGAGCTAAACCGTCCCTAGTATGTCACCGTCCCATACCGGTACATACCATCCTCCATATCCATGTAAATTACAACATATATAACAGTTCAATAATTTACAGACCAAAAACTACCATCCAAACAATTGCAGAAAACTATTTAAAATTTCAGCAATTTAAATCCAAGCATTTAACTATATAGTTGCAGGAGACGATTTAACAAATCAACAACTAACATCCAGAGCATGCATAGACCAAGTTTAATATGTCAGGGACTCCATCATGCATGTGAATAGGTTAAATAATCCTATTATTAACCAATAAATTGCTAAAACAATTCAGAAGATTGTTTAAATATTTCAGCAGTTTAAATCCAAGCATTAACCATATAGTTGCAGTAAACAAATTAATAATTCAGCAAC